CTGGGTGGTGTTACTACCAGGTATCGTCCCAAATTGATTTGGATCCACCTTCTTCAGAACTGCAGGCTTTACAAATTCTTCTACGACAAAGTCTTCCGCAACTTTCGAGAGGATAGATGTCAAAGATATAGGACGAAGATGGCTATTGAAACCAAAGCATCCTACAATTGATTGTATAATCTCAATTTTTGTGGTTAATTATAAATTATGTGCTCAAATTCATTCCTATATTTAGCACTTTAGCGAGATTTCAATATTACCAATTTATTAACTTTACATAAGCAAATATATTGGCTTCAGCATGCAGTTCTGCTTGTAACTTTGTAAACCTGCAATTATTTAACTTATTAAGTTCTTTATCTTGTAATTCAGTCATTTATATAAGTTCTTTATCTTGTAATTCAGTCATTTAATATAATTATCCCCCTCTCATAATTACATTATATCGCTACCCGCCCCGATTAGCTTGGCTACTTGCGGCTAGTGAAAATTCATGTAAATATATCTGTAACTGGAAATAAATATGTGTATGTGTGTATATGTGGTATATACATATATATAATACAGTTTAGACCTAACCAGAAGCTGTTGTGAAAAATGTAACTACTGTTTGCCCTACAGCAGGAATTAAACCTGTGGCTCTCAGATTCGGATGTCCAGAGTGCTCTGACCACTCATTAGAGCTTCAGAGTCCAGTTGCCAAGCATTAACTACAAGTTTAAATAGCTTCTTTCATATTAATATAATTATAATATTATATATAATGTTTTGCAGTAATTGCTCTCTTGGTCTAAAATTGTATATTTTAAATTTCATGTACTAGAAACTCATCTAGGCTACATTCAGTTCTATTGAAAGAGATGCCCAAAATCTCGATGGTTAAGTGTAATTAACCCTTAAGTGCCAATGCTCCCAGTCTGTCTAACGTCAGATGATTTTACTTGTCAGAGTGAGTGCTGCCACTCAATGGGTTAACCACTAGCAAATTTACATATCACTCATGCAAAAATATTTATTTATCAGAATCAACAGTTCATTCCCATTGAAAAATAATATGCTTGCAAGTTACACCAAATTGCTATAAACCTTTTTGGTTATGTTTGACAAAAAGTAGGCAGTACTTCTTGCCAGAGTTCAGCGGTTGTATGTCCACCTAGGTGCTCCTGGTCAGGTCTATAAATCTTTCATCTACAAAAATCCTTCAACATTCAGTTTCATCGAGCGAGCTAGATCCCCAATATCTTGAATGAATATTTTACCTGTGAATGCCTGTATCTTTAGATTTAAATAATAGCAAATACAGAGTGTCTCAAAAAAACGCTATGGAAATTCAACAGGCTGTCGTGCATCATAAACGTACTAGCTAAACAATTCAATTTTTACATAGGACGAAAAAACTGTTTTTTTAGCTTTTCTATGATACCTTTTTTAAATCGTAACGATAAGAAATGGCCACATACTCATCAAATAAAAATTGTTGGTCGAAATCACATAGCCCGCGTGCAGGCCCAAGGGAACTGATAGTGGGCCTGCAAGCAAGGCCCGGTATTTTGTACTTTCCGCGTTCGCCCACGAACGCGGCATTCTGATTGGCTGTTTGCTGTTGGATTCTATAATTAGGTCAGTGATTCATCACAAAGGCTCTCGATAAGCTCAAAATTCGAAAATTGATCACTTTTTTCGATTATAAATGGAACAAGAACAGACTGTTTATTGTTTACTTGAAGGAAGAGATGTTTTTGCCGTTATGTCAATGGGGATTGCTTGTCGTGAGGTGTTGGAATAGCAACATTACGACTGGGGTAAACTATAGTAACCTTTACTTGAGTTTCATTAATTTCAAACAGACTTCAGTTGATACGTTATGTGTTCTCACTTCCTCAAGAAAATTATCTTTGGGTTGATGTTGAGATGCAGTTGCATGTAAGAACTGTAAGCCTATTCGAAACACTTTGCGATTTACAAGGCTTCGCAGAGAGAGCGAAACAGAAG